CAAAATCAGTTAAGGGGGAAAATATCTAAACTAAAATAGCACAAGTAAGCCACAATTCTGGCAACTGCAGAGGGTGTGGGTATGCCAGGTACTTTCTGAAATGAGTTTAAACCATAGGTCGCTAGCCAGTAGCCAGCTGGCTGTATCCAGCCCACAGATGTGTTTTGCTTGTCCTGCAGTGCTGGCCCACACCACGCTTTTAAGAAATCTCAATCTGTTGCCAACATTAAAAACCAGGCCACTTCACACCAAAACCTGGATTTCCAGTGTCTTTTACCAAGTGGAAGACCTGGCTCCCCTGATGCCACATTTGCACATGGAAAAGGATAGCTGGAATATAGCAGTAGCTGCTCCTTTGGAAAGAACATCTGTGCCCCAGTTTCTCCCTACCTAGTCTATTTCGCTCATGTATATTATCCACAGGAGCCCTGAAGGCATCTGAGTTGGTGACCCTTGGTTGAAAAGGTTAAGCAGATGTAGATTTCAAAGCCAATCATTATTAGGCTTTTCCCAAAAACATCCCCAATGACAGCCTCCAGTCAGTATTAGGACGGCTATGACAGAAGGTAAAGCATGTGAGACCAAAACTCAGTAGCTGGGTTCATTTGCATTTCTGCTCTAGGATACTCACTTTTTGTTTCGAAAATATATTCACTTTTAGTATTTCATTTATTCTTCCTAACAACCTTGCCAGGAAGGCATTAGTCTCAGATAAACGGAAGGCAAGTGATGTTTTGTCAGTTATCCAAGCCAGATCAACCGACAAGTAAGTTGCAAAGCCTGGTTTTGAACCCAGTTTTCCCGCAGCTACAAACACTGTGCTTTTGGAATCATGAAAGAACACTTTGGAAAGCCATGAGGCTTGTTTCTACCTCAGAGCCTTTGCACTTGCTGTTCCCTCTGCTTAGAAACCTCTCCACCCAGGTCTTCACGTGGGAGGATCTTACTCTTTCATGACACTTATATCACCTCCACAGAGAGGTTTTCCCTCATCATTTGATGTAAAATAACACATGCACACACATTTGCACACACACACACACACCCCAATTACTTTCTAGGCCGCTGCTACTCAAAGAGAGGTCCAGTAATCAGCAGCAACGGCATCACCTTGGAAATCAGAAATGCAGAATCTCAGGCCCCATCCCCGACCTACGGACTCAGAACCTGCACGTTAACACCACCACTCCCCACCCCCGCTCCCCATGTTTTGTGTGCATTTAAAGTTTAAAAAGCACTGCTCTACAGGAGTGCTGCCCGGTGGAAATAAATATAACAGGAGTCACAAGTGTACATTTTAATTTTCTAGTAGCCACATTACAAGAGTAAGCAGAAAGACTTGTTTGTTTGCTGTCTCCCCTTCTCCCACTCCCACCCCCACTAATACGTCAGTTCCAAGAGAACAGGTGCTTCACCTGTCTTGTTCACCCCTTTACCCCCAGCACCTGAAACAGTACACTGCGCACATATTAAGTATCATTAAATGTTTGCTGAATGAAAGAAGGAAGGAAAAGACCTTGCTAGCACTCTATATACCAGCACTTTGGACAGATGTGGCTTCAAATGTCAGCTCAACCCCTGGCCAGCTGAGCAACCTCGAGCAAGTTGTTTTACCCTCTGGGAGCCAACTGTAAAGCAGAAATGCTGTTCTTTTGCTCACAGCCTCATCATGCCACCCAGATGTGATAATATGTCTATAAAACGCAAACCACCACAATAACAGGCGTTCAGTACACGCCAGCGCCTTATGCTGCCCTCCTTCTTTCTCTCTCTGGACACCATGTCCAAATGATGCTGTGGACCACTCTCCTCTGCATAGCACAAGCATGACTACTGAACGCCAGCTATTTCCCTCCAGCCGACAGGATGTGTGTAGTAACTGCTGGCAGTGAAGACAGCTTGAAACCATGGAGGGTCACTTCGCGTCACCCTACAGCTGAATGGTTTCCAAAGCAAAGTGGTCGCAGTCACTGTACAGTCTGTAGTCCACGAGGGAGACCACAGCCCAAGTCATTTCCGTCACTTTAATGAGTTCTGCCGTGGCAGCCACTTGGCCTGCCACAAGGTCCCACCCCTTAGAGGAGTTTAAGGTCTCTGCCCAGTGTGCATGAGTGCACATTGAAAGGCGTATTGTGGCTTTGCCCTTTTAATTTTTTGAGGGAGGGAGGGACGGAGAGTTTAATCTACCCCCACTTATTAATCACTGGCCTGTGTCAACCCACCAAGTGAGGCTTGCTGTGCCACAGCTTTAACGCACCCTAATCCATCAGTCTATCTTGTCCTGCAAATCTGATGCATATGTTCTAATCGCAAATGTGCTTTTAAATCACATTAGATCAACAGCATAGGCGAAAGCAAAACCCGGATTTAGACATGACCGGAGTGACACCAAGGAAATAAAACTGGGGCTGCTTAGTTGAATATGAGGAAACCCTTGCCAGCTCTGCCGAGAGCAGCCCCAATTTCTTCCTTCTCTCCCTCTCATGGAAATCACAACAACCATGATCACCCGCAGAATCAGTAGGCTACTGGGAAGCGCGACGAAATGAAAAAGAAAAACAAAACAAATAATGGGAAGAGGGGATCAAAACCTTTAATTAACCTGTGCATCTCTATCAGGCAAATAGTAGAGTAAGATTCCAGATAAGGTACAAGGCATATGGGGAGGAAATGTAACCACTTAAGTACAGATGCCACCATTTAAAAGACTGGGACCAGGGAACCAGGAGGAAGGGAGAGGGAGAGAAGAGCCTGAAGAGATGCGGCCAACGGAAATCCCCAAAATGCCCTCAAAAGACGGCTGCCCCTGTTAGGGCTAGAGAGCTATCCTAGGATCCAAAGGGTTTCTGGGAGTCATCTCAACAGCGAGGTTTGGGTGGAAAATGATTCCTCTACGTTAGATAGATTCTCCTCCAGCAACTCCAATCAGCACCACTAATCATAATAAGGATCTACCATGGGTGTGATGCTGGGGCAGGAGATGAGGGATACAGACATATCACATGGTCCTCTTCAGTGAGGATCAAGGGAACCCAGGTCCATCTACATCTCTTAGTCCTATGGGGCACTGAGCCCCAAATACCACAAGTGATGGCTGAGGGTACCACAGATCTTCAACAGCCATGTCCTGACAGCGAGGCAGTTTACATATACCTCCTTTTCCCAGCCGCAGTATAAAAGAACGTAAGAAGACCTGGCATCTTTTATCTTTTCATTCAGAAAATGCTCCAGACCCTACGATGGGACTTCCTGACATGCAGTCCGCCACACACCCTTCGTCAACTTTATTTTAACGCATCCAAATAAAACACCCCCTTCTCCATTTCCAACTGCAGTAAAGCAACCCAAACACGTGTTAGAGAGATTTGATCGTTATGCCTCCCTCTCCCCCAAAGGGCATTTGACACTTCTCACAAGATACAGGGCTTTAAAATTAGAATTGCAAAAAGCCATAGTTACCCTCTTAGGGCCATGGCTGCCTCACAGCAGAAACCAGAACATTCTTACAATCAACAGTTAAACAACTGAAACCTTCCCAGACATCATACCTTTTTTTTTTTTTTTTTTTTTTTGCTGTTGTTGCACTAACACCTTTTTAATTATAATTGCAAACTGGAAGCCATGGCTTGTCATGTTATAAATACTGATTTTCCAGTTAAATTAGGCATTTGCTGTTTTTTATTTTGATAGGAAGGGGCTGTTTGAAGCCTCCTAAAATATCGCAATTAGTTCTCTCTGTTGAAACAGACAAGACATGAACAGTCGCATTTGCTGTTTCGGTTTAATGTGCTGGAATGTTCATCCCTAAGTGTACTTCTCTCAAGCTTTGAAAGCATAAGGCATATTTTTAAAACGGAAAGAAATCAATCACAATACACACATTTATCATATATTTCCAAAGTTAAGTTATTTCTAAAACTTTCCTAGGCTGTAATTTAAACTTAGAAAGCACATCTCTTCAACAAGAAGGCGACTTGTCAGGAAACAATCCTTATTTTACCTATTGGCTCTGCTAAGATGATAACATCACTTTAACTGACAAAGCCTGTGTTTCTGGTTGACAATTGCAATTAATTACTGAGATACAACCGAGATGGGGCCAGCCATCCAGATCTATTTTCCAGAGAAATTAAAAAACAAGAGGAAAGGAGGGGGCGGGGGTACGACGCTGGATTATTAATTTATTTTACCCACACTTAACTTACTACTCCTCTCTTCTCCCTTTCCCTCAACGCTGGCAGACGGTGGAAAAGGAGGGAGATGAACAAACAACTCACTAGATACAAGCTCCAATATGTTGCAAAGGAGGCACAGGTTAGAAAGGGCACAGGTGCAGGGTATGAAAACTCTTAGGGCACCAACTGTCATGTAGGCACGGATACTCCTGATGCAAAATCAACCCAGTGTTCATGCAGCCCAAGAGGGATAGAAAGTTCTGGAGACGGGGGACATCCTGAGTTTTTACTAGAAAGCCCGAACTCGCCAGCATCATCCCTTTAACTGTTCCCTGTTCATTTTGCTCTGAACTGAAAACACTGGATTCCAGCCACGCAAATGCGTCTGAGGGCGATTTTGAGAGATTCCAGGGGATCCCAAAGCCCTCTGGTCAATCTAGCTGTCCTGTCCATTCCTCAGCGTCCCCAGCACAGAAGCGCACCGCCCCGCAAGAGCCTGGGTTAGGAAACACCCCGGGGGCACGAGGGCTGGGGATTCCCAGGCTTGGAACTAGGCAGATTCGGAAAGCAGCTCCCTGGACGAGGAGCCTGAGGCAGGCAGATCAGGGGGACCCCTTTCTCCTCGCCCTAGAATTAAGTGATCCCTGGCTAGCCTCCAGCCCTCTCCGCCGCTCCCCCAGAGCAGCTCCGCCAGGGTGCGCAGAGCCCGCGCGGGGTTAAGACCTCTCGGGACGCTGCCCGGATCCCCAAAGGCCAGGGGAGCGGCAGCTTCCCGTGCTGGTCTCCCCTACGCGCCTATCCCATCCGCCGAGCTCGGGGTCCTACCTGTACCATTCCAGTCCCTTTTCATAGTTCCTGTCGAAGAAGTGCGGCTCTACGCCCACCGCCCGCACGTCCGGGTGCACTCGGATCGCCTCCAGCAGCGCGCGGGTCCCTCCTTTCTTGACCCCGATGATAAGGGCCTGTGGCAGCTTCTTCTCCCCGTAGTCGGGGGTGCTGACGGCGCCGCCCCTCACGCTGCTCCCGTTGGCCGCCCTCCGGCCTGCGAGCTCCTCGTCTGTGGTGCTGGACTCCTGCGCTTCCCTCTCCAGCAGCGCGCTCTGCGCCGTGACCATCTCGCCAGAGGCCAGCGGGGTCCGGAGCCAGGCGTCCCGGGCGCCCCCGCCGCCGCTCGCCAGCCCCCAGCCGTCGGCCGCGGGGGCGGAAGGCTGCTCGGGGGGCTCGGGCGGCTCCCCGCGGCTCGCGCTGTCCGGCGGCGGCGGCGCGGGCGGCTGCGAGGGGGCGCCGAGGCGCACGGGGGGAGGCGGCAGCGAGGGTGGCGGCGGGCTTGGCGGGGGCTCGGCGGCGGCGGCCGGCGGCTCCTGCAGCGCCAGGGGGAATTGCAGGGAGCCCGAGCCGCCCAGGAGGCTGTAGCACAGGTAGGTGACGGACAGGGACAAGGTGCACATGAAAAGCAGCTTGCGCGCCGGCGGGCCCTTAACCGAGGCGCCGGGCGGCGGCGGCGCGGCGAGAGGTGGAGGCGGAGGCGGAGGAGGTGCGGACCACTGGGCCATCGCGGCTCCCGGCTCGCGGCGGCGGCGGCGGCGGCCCCCGGCGCTGCCCGGACATGGTTTCAGCCGCCGCCCCCGCCGCCGCCGCCGCCGCCGCCGCTGCTGCCCAGCCGCCCCGGCTGCATGAAGCGACGCCGCTGCGCCCCCGGCCCTGGCCGCTGTCCCGCTGCGCCGGGGGGGAACCCGGCCGCATGGCCCCCCTCCCCGCTCTCCTCGCGGCGTCCGGGGGGCCCCCCACCACCCCCCTCAGCCTCTGGCAAGGGGCCCGAGGGGGGCGCGCGGACCCGCCGGCTGCACCTTCTCCGTCTGCAGCGCCCCAGCTTCCCTGGCTCCGCCGCGGCTCCCGTTTCAGCTTCTGCCGCCGCCGCCACGCGCTGTTGCAGCCCAGAGTTCCTTCCCCGCTGCTAACTTTCTGCCGGGAGAGAGGAGAGGCGCGGCAGGGAGGCGGAGGGGGCCGGGCGCGCGCCCCGCGCCGCCGAGGGAAGGGGGAGTGCGCCTCGCGCGCGCCTGCAGGGGGCGCGGGGGCCGCGGGAGCGGAGGCGTGCGCTAGGGCTGGGGCACCTGGGGAAGCGGAGATCGTACCCCCCGCCCCCCCGCTCGGCAAGCACTCGCTGGAGGTGTTCCCCGCCGCACCCCGCGTGCTTCCCTTCCCCTGGGAGCCTGGGACGCTGGGTTCTGCATCCCTCTCCGAGTACTTTTAGGGACATAGAGCCAGACGCCCGCCGCCGGTGCCGCTCACCGAGCTCTCGCTGTCCCCTTTCCCCCTGGGACTCCAGGCAAACTCGGCCCATCCCTGACGCGCCCTTCTCTAACCCTGGATATCCTCCTGCCTTTGGTCCAGGAGTGGTTTCTGCTCCATAACAGCTCTCTCATTCCAACTTCCGTCTTTCCAGCCTCCCCATCTTATCTTGAAGCTCCTGACGGGTTGAGCTTGGACACAAACCCCCAGGTTTCCCTACCCACAGAGTTTTTGCCTCTGTCCCGCCACAGGGGGACTGCGCTTTCTGCTCCGAAAAATGAGGCTGTCCCTTTCTCTACACCCTTAACCAGAGGTACACCTGCGGCCCTTGGGGGCGTTGCCGCGAAAGGAGTTAGATTTCCCTGGACTGAAACCGACTGAGACCGTCATCGCTCTAAACATCTAAGAAGCAGAGACAAGTTGCGTTGCAGGGTGTCTGTGCATCGCTTCATTGATTTTTTTTTTTTTTAAGTGCATTCTTTTCAGCGAGATTTCCATCCCTCACCTCCCTCTCCTGGGGAGGTAATGGTAAACATCAGAAGGATTTGGGAGATTCGAAACTAGAGCCTTGCTTCTTGGAAGTGGGGGAATTGGGAGTCTGCAACGGGAGGGAGAGGCAGAGCAATCAACTCTGCTTGCTGGGGACAGGGGCTGCCCCTGCACCCACCCAGGGCCAGTATCTCCCAGGGGCTGGCTCGCTGAGTCCCATTTACCCCATTTACCCTGCCAGCCACAGCTGGGTGCCTGGCGGGTCCGTCTGTTTTCACAGATGTGTTTGGCATCTCCGGTTTTGTTTGATCATATAATGGGAACAACAGCTGAAAGAAAAAGTATATAATGTCTAAATATTAACTAGATACCTAGTGCCAAAGAGGGGAAGCAAATGTTAATCAAATAAGATGAAGAACACGGACTTTTCCCTGAGTGAACCAAAGCTCACTGCTGCTCTCAGCTGGACACGAGTTTCCTTCACTGCAGCTTTAGTTCAGATAAAGATTATTCCTTTATAATATATTTTTTACGGTACACTGGAGACCTCTGAAATGCAGAGTCTGGTGTCCTGTAAATCATTCCGTGTAACTAGAGATGCTTTTTTCAAACACCACACGACTGCATTACTGTAATGTTAATGGGAAGGGGCCAGCTAGAGCTGGGAGAAACCGCGAGCTTGGCCCATCTCTCTTCCCACTCCAAGCCCAGCTCTGGGTGGTCAGCCAGGAGGCCCCAGTGGCAGCAAATATTGCCACTGCCGTGCCCCATCTCCCTTTGCAGGCCCAGACACCGGGCTACTCAACATGTGGCCCAGGGCCACCCTGTAGTCCAAGTGCCCAAACTTTTCCATCTACCCTCTCAGCAATCCAAATAAACCTTCTTTGTACCTAGTTTTACTAAAGATGTGCTTTTCCACATTTGGCAAGGTTTTGATAAAACTGTGTTAAAATTTAACCCAGAGGTGGCAAACTGGTGACCAGTAAAGCTGAATAAGGCCGGCACAGTGATATGAAGAAATTCCAGCTAGTTGCAGTATTTAAATATTAAGGGCTTTCCAGCAAAAAAAAAAAAAAATCTGGAGATGAGGTTTCTGTTGAAATAACAGATCCAGCAGATTTGGGCCCCTCAGCCAGAGCTGAGAAGCCTCCTTTAGGTGGAGCACGTATGCCGTATTCTTCATGGGGCACCCAGATTGTCCCCCTGTATTTAGGTTACTTGCCTGGACGATGCTAAGGAGGAAATTTCCCGGAATCCCTTCTCCCTCTTGTCCCCAAATAGTCACACTTTAATAAAAGACTCTTGAGAGAATGGAGCCCCACTGGTAAGGTGTCAGCCCCACAACTGATGGTGAAGAGGTGATTTGGGGACCAGAGGAGTTTTGTAGATTTCTCACTTAGGCAGTTGTCTATTTTTTTATACTCTTGATCCAGCGAGTTCTTGAGAAACCTACAATAAAAAGCAGGAGCTATCTACATAGGGAGAACCCAGACTTCATTCAGCAAATCCCAATGGATCTGGAGACCAGATAGAATTTTTTTTTTTTTTCCTGTTTCCACTGCCAACACCCATGCTCATTAAGGCCTATCTGAATTTTTGCAATATTCCTCCAACTGCTCTCCAGGCCTCCCTTGAGCCAAACGTGCCTGTTTCTGTTCATCCTAGGGCACAGTATTTCTGAGACAGAGCTCTACAAATGCCCTCAGTGACTCTGTACCCTTCCTCTCACTGCTTCCGAACTCATAGACTCCAACCTCTTTACCTTTGCGCTAGGGTGCCCTTCCACCTTTTATGTGTCTCACAGTCACATTGCCAAACCAAACAGTACCTACCACTCAAACATGCACGCTGCATCATTGTTTCATCTCCATATGGTCAGACAATAGAATTAAAACAAAGCTGTCATTTGCTAGCTAAGTGGGTCTCTCGGACAGGTCATTTCACCTCCCTGAGCCTCATCTTCTGCATATATTAATTATGGACAATAAGACTCACCCCAAATTGTTTTTATAAAGAATCAAATTGACTTACAGAGCATATGCAAAAATAACTGGCTCCCTGCCTGACATGTGGTGGCTACCAGTAATTGTTTGGATCTAAATATTGGCTCATCCATGCCGGTCTTCTTTTCTTATTAAAACCTTATCCGTGAAAAATATGTGTGTGCCCTTTCTTCACAACCAGCGGAATGTGTCAGCTCAAGTTCACTTTCCTAAGCTGCTCAGTTGCATTGATAATGCCAAGTCCAGAGCTTTCGATAGTTTTTTGGGTTTCTTTAAGCAATGGAAACTAACTCTGACCAACTTCGGTTTGGTTCAGTTTTTTATTAAAGAAATTTACTAGAAGGATGTATATAACTCACGTAACTGAGGGAATTTTTTAAAAATCAACAACAAACAAAAAGCAACAGTCAGCTTTGGAAAAGGCAATAAATGGGGCGGATAAGTGTATAGCTGTCATCACTGCCATTCAGCAAATACTGTCGGCTCTCCTGTGGCCCACGGGAGGCATGTGTTTTCTTGGCCCCTTGAAGTTAGGTGTGACTCTGTGCCGTGTTGGCTAATGAAGCAAGAGGAAGTGAGACTGTCTCTTCCAGGAAGAAGGTTTGAAACACAGGGGGAGATTTACCGGTGGGGATGTTTTTCCTGCCTGGCAATTGTGCAAGAGGGGGCTTGAGCCCCTCTTGGCTGCCATCTATTCAATCCTCCACACTGAGCAAGGACAGTAAAGAGCCAGCCCCTGATCACTTGTAGCATAAACAAAAAATAAACCTTGCTTGTTCTCAGCTCCTGACACGTGGAGGGTTGGTTTGTGAATACAACACAACCTAGGCTATCTGACTGTTGAAAACATACATATTATGAATTTCCTCTGCTGTGGACCAAAATGACTTCCACAAGCCAATATTAGAATTCCCTTTCACAGAGGTGGATGAATGATGGATTAGAAGTCTACATTGTCCCAGCAGTATAGACAGAACCTTTGTCTCATATACAGCAAATGTATTTCCCCATTTTGTCTTTTACAAAGACAAAATAAATAAAAAGGTCAATAAAAAGGTATATCTATAGAAATCAGGAGGTAAAGCTCCAACCAAAAGCAACGTGGTGACAAAAATGGACATATACTTATAAAAGGAGCAAACGGTTAAAAAATAATAATAATGGCTATGAACTTACAGGACCGTGCATTGAAAAGGATCTCACATGGGAAATCAGGAAATACTTAGAGCTGAAAGCTCTACATGACAAAATCTCGTGGGTGGAATTCAGCAATACTTATAAGAAAGATTGTATCTTCAATATACTTATCCAAAAAGAAGAAAGATTTAAAGGAAATGAAGAAGCTAGAAAAAGAGCAAGAGGCTCAAGGAAGAATGGAAATGATCAGTTAATTGCTGTGGATCGAACTGTGTTGCCCCAAAATTTGTATGTAGCAGCCTTAACCCCCAGTGTTGCCATATCCAAAGACAAGGTCTTAGGAAGGAAGGTTAAAATGAGGTCATAATTGTGGGACCCGAATCGGATAGGACTGTGGCCGCATAAGAAGCTCAAGAGATACCTCCGTCTGTTTCTTTACACACCCTGCCGGCTGAGGACACAGTGAAAAGCGGACCTTATGTAAGCGAGGAAGAGAGTCCTCACCAGAACCTGACCAGATCTCAGACTTCCAGCCCCCAGAACTGTAAGAAAATAAATTTCTGTTGTTTAAGTCATCTGCTCTATGGTATCTTGTTATGGTAACCCAAGCTAAGACATTTATCTTTTACAGTTTTGTAAATAGGTTCTGGTACCAATTCCAATGTGTATGTATTTTTGGGAGGTGGGGC